GGGGACCATTTTTTGTTGAATTTTCAAAGTGCTCAAAATTCATCAAAATTCATAAAAATTTGATTTTTTTTAAGAAACCGCCTGGAGCCGCGCATCACCAAAAATCATTTTTTTTCGAATTCGATGTTATAGTCATGTTTCTATGACCTTCCTACGGAGGTAATAGGGGTACGATTTTTGAAGCTTGAAAAAATGTCAAAATCGAACCACTCTAGCATCCAATTGGGTAATTTAAAATTTTCGAAACACGAAATATTGTCAATCACGAAGAATATGAAGTAAGTCACGATATTTGAGTATCTCCCAAAAAGTTACATTGCGTAAACTACCCGCTTTGAAAATAATATCCTTGACCCTCAATATCTGTTCTGAGTCGGAAAAATGTTACATATTTATTCAAATTCAAAATTCATTCCATAACAGTATCTTCTTATCTTGCAATACTTAAAGTAAATTAAGGCTTTAATTTTGCGTAGTTGCATTTGCAATAGTCGTTTCTGGCGTAGCATCATTGGTTTTCAAGCCTCTGATAAAGTCATCAACATTTACGCTCAAATTTTGAATATCTTTTGGGTAGTCCTCTACCGAATATGGTAAATGGTATACATCTGCAAACACTTCGCCAACTTCACCTAATTTAACGTTACCTTTCTCTTTCAATTTGTTGAGTTTTTTAAAAATAAGATTTGGATCGTCTTCCTTATCTTCATCGGGATTGAACATATTAAATGGAGATAATATGAAATCAAAGAAGCTGCCGTTTTCAGATCCTTTCTTTGCATGTTTTTCTGTTAGTGCACTCGAAACCGTGCTAAGATCCAGAGTTTTATTCGTTATTTCGGCTGGCAGGACGTCTACGTTGAATGGAACGTTGAAAGTTTTGCAAAATATCTTTCCAACTGCACCAATAGTAGTGGTACCATTAGTCGAATTTTCTTCTAAATCTTTGAGTGCGCTTGAAATCTTGAGGATATCCGCTTCACCGGGTGACAAATCTGACAAATTGTCAACATCTGGTATTTCAGGGTATGATTCAGATAAATTTTCCGATTTCACGTTGAAGACAACAAGTGCAAAAAGAATTGTAAGCAACTTCAGCATTTTTTACTTTCTTTTATTAATGAAACTTTTTTAATTTAATATTTTTTTATCGTAATGTTTGACATGTACTAATAATTGCTGATGTATTTTACATTATTTATATCATTTCAAAAGCCCACATTTTGAAGAATATCGTTAAAATGAAATTCACGCTTATTAAAATACAATCATATCACACAACGCAGGGTCCATTAAATGAAGTAGTTAAAAAGTTTCGAAGTATTAGCAGTCACGCTGAAGTGATGTAAGTCACGATACTTGAGTCCATCGTAAATTTTTTTAGCTATTATGCAAAATAATGTCTTTGACCCTAAATGCCCTCATCGAACAGTCATCAAAGGCAATTGTGAATCGTTTTGTGGTCAGCGGCCTTTATTCGGTCCCAAAATTTAAAATGAGAAAATGCCTAGGGATGCGATGGAAATCCAATCTGATTTCAGACATGTTACGCAGCACATAATTTCAAGCAATCACGCAAACTTTGGTAACCAATAACACAAAAAATTAATTTAGAAATTGGGATCGAGTTGGAAACTAGCTCAATGCCGTGTATAATTTTAATTTATTAAAATCAATTTATTAAATTGAAAAACCTAGTCAAAAACAAGAAAAATCAATAAAAAGTAATAAATCAAAAACAGGAAGTGAGCGATTTGCATTTCAAAATTCAATCTAATCTACTGCGCAATTGAAAGTTAGTAGTACCCGTACACTTGAGGTATTGAAGTGTTCTCTTCATCATTAGTGAACAAATCGAAAGAAAATTATATTCAAAAGGCTATTCTATCTAGTATGAATCTCCATTTCTTTTTTTAGAAAATTGTGGAACAAAAATTGTTTTCAACTTTCAAAGAAATGACTCAAAACTTTATACCAGCCCCCACTCACATTCAGCCAAATGAAACTATTTATAAAATAAATTCGAGTGGAGCTGGTCATACAAAACTGGAACAAAAAACTATTTTTAATTCACAGTTGTTCTGTGACCAAGCGAGCCGAACTTTTTTAAAATTAAGTCGAAGAAAAAATATAGACACTACCTTACTAATAGATGGTTATATACTTAAGTGAACTATTTGACTTAAAGTTTTGAAGAATTGCATATGAACGAATGAATATTACTTCAATTCTCACCCTTTCACATATAGCTTTTGTGTTAACTTTTGGTTTTGTTTTGATAACACTAATCACCATTAATTGATTTTAATGACAATCATTAAATACAAAGCATATGTCACACGAGCCAGGAACGATACTCCGCTGTACAAATCGAACGCATTTAGAAAAAAGTAAGAAATCTAAAAGGGAGATGAAGCGAGTAAATTGTGGCTTAAAAATGTTTATAAAAACGTTCCAATTTTGGTAGGAAAAAATGGTGATACAAGAAGAGAATTATTCAGCTGAAGATTGTTCATTGGTTTTTATAATACTCGCTCGCTTTTACATCTCATCGAATGTAATATCATTGAAATGGAAACAAAACTCTTTAATAATGCATATAACCATTTTCATTTCTTTTTTTTTGTAGTATATTATATTTTACTATTTATTATATTTAAAAACAAAGTATTGAAGACAAACCAAAGGAATGAAATATTAACTTTTGATGATTTCTTGGGAATTTGTGGCTGTGTGTTGGGACTGTTTTTGGGTTTTTCACTAATTAGCTTTATCGAGATCATTTTTTATTCAACAATACGTTTGTTTTCGAGAATTCGCCTCTTAAGGTCGGAAAACATCGTTACTCCGGCGCCTGAGCAACAAACACATGACATTGATATAATCAGCATCAGTTCAGTTGGTGATAGCGAAAGATCGGTACTGTAATTCCCATCGTTGCTTATACTTCATTTTTACCTGTACAGTAAGTATTTCCGAACGAAAAATTTGCTTAAAAAACAATGAAAGACAGTCAGTGTTTTGTTTATTACATACATAAGATAGTGGTATATTTAGTTTCTGTAGGTTTGTCATAAAATATCAAAATTAAAATTAATACTCTTCTCATCGACTTTCGATCATTCAAACAAAAACTAGTTTCAGTGAAAGAAGAACGTGATTAGGAATGTGTTATCCGGTATCTCTTATGTCCTAAAAATCGTTTTTACATAAAAATTGTTTGAATTTTGTTTTTGTTTTAGCTCAATATAAATTTTGAAAACAAATGAATGTAATCACGCGTGAATAGAGTGCATTATTAATTTCTTAAGAAATCATTCTTAATTTTTTTTTTCTTTAAATACCAAATTGTGTCTAAATTCAATAAATTCATTCATTTTTATTTACATAATAAATTGTTCCGATTTTTACATAAAATTTCGTCATTTTTTTTCTATTTTTCAATGGTTTTTCTTAAATTTTGCCATTTAAAAACCACTCATGCTTGATACATCGATATGAATTGAAGATAACGTTTCATTTTTCACGTATAATAGAGAAAAAAAATTAAGAGAGAGAGAAAGGCCACATTAACAAGTCTTCAAATTGTTTTACATTCACTTTCTTGTGTTGTTACAGTTTAATAATTCCAATGTGTTGATTATGATATCATTTGATTAAATAATTAAAACAGTAAATTAAATTGAAATAAAATTCGCTAACTTATGGCAACTAATGATATACCTCGGTTTTAATTTTGTGTTAATTCATTTCTTCTTTTTATTCATCTTTTAATTCATTGAATTCAACCGATATATTGACAGCGAAATATATTTGGATTTTTGTGTTTAACAAAATAATTAACTGTCGATTAAAAATAGTTCAATTTCAAACAATTAAAAAAATTGAGCAATAAAAAAAAGATGAAAATACACGATATTTGCGATGTGGTAGCACCGTTTTAAGAGGCTCAAATTAAAACACAATAATTGTGCGATGTACGTGTGTGTGTGTGTGTGTCTGTGTGATTAGGAACGAAATTTCTGAGGATGCATTTCATATAATCGTCTAAGTCTATAAAAATCATGTGCTGTATCTCTCTGTGTAATAGTGCTTGTATTCATTTTGTACCGCCGAGTTAAAATTATTTATCGAGAAAGAAAAATGGCAGCATTGTTAAAGCAGCGGTACCAAATCCCTGGATCTTTGTAACGAACCAATACTTTATTGTGCTTACAAAACATAAACATTTGTTTAAATAAATCCACTTATTTATTCCGCTATTTACATGACAAGTAACTCTTTTTTTCTACATTGTGTGTGCTTTTTTTCCTGTATCATTTTTTTTGTTAACTACTTTTAATTTTTTTATTTTCACATTTCTAAATTCTTCTTTTCTTTCGCTACTTCGGTCATTAGCTGCTCTATTCATACGAATCGTATAAATCAATATGTATAAATGATTTTTTTCTTTCGAAATTGGCTGGAGATTAACTGAAGTTATCTCTAACTTGACGCATGGAAATCATTTAGTGTAAGGAATCTCTTTGAGTGTAAATCGAGACCGAGGCCTAATTGAATGGGTCTGAACATTATTGAATTGATCACCAGGATGCAATGGGTATTGATCAAAACTCATTCTTTATTGGTTATATCAAATAACCGAGAACCATTGGCCATTGCTATATCAGAAAAAATAATATGCGCCACAGTCAAAAGTTTCGTTGACTCTGATAAAACAAAAATTATTAAACGATTGTAAATAAAATAACATATTTTTTTTCCGTCGTGATAACTGATCTGATCTGCCTCCATATCGTTCCAGTCAATCGAGCGAATAAATTCATTTATAAATGTGAAAACTGAAAATAGAAGAATATACCGTATGAATGCGTTTGATGTGTTGTGAGTTTAAGTACAAAACATTTGGTGTTCGGTTTAAAATCAAAACAGTACAATCAAAACAATCATCGTCGATCATGTGTGGTTCGTTTTGTACGTGCGCGAAAGAAGAAATTTAATACGTTTCCTATAATAATCTTGTATCATACGACAAGGATCCGCTTCTTCCCATTATACAAGAGAAAAAAATTTGTTTGCGGGAGATTTTTCTTTCTGTCTATAACTACATTTATTATTTTATAACTAAATCGTGCATACGATTTTCCGATTCGTGGCTCATTTTCGCATTTATGCATTATTTGTATTCGGGTATGATTTTACCTCGATGAAATCTTATTGCCGTCAGTATTATTGTTATTCAATGAATTTGCTTTGTAGCCGGATTTTTGAATGCGCTTCGATAAGCGATTGACCCATGATTTTTGGTCTTCATTTGATGTGGCCAGCAACAACATTTCACGCGCTGAATGTGGATCATGGTGTAATTTACACGGTGCCATCAAGTCATTATTGTCAACGTGCTCCTTATGGATTTTGTTTCGACATCTGTGTATGAAAAGAGAAACATTACATTTCTTTTCAAAACAATTTGTTCGATGTTAATACTAAATACGTACTGACATTAACATGAGCAAATTTTGTTTGATTTGGATTAATAAATGAGAAAGTTTCTTACCTTTTGCATTCATATGCCGCTGGTGGTTTGAAAACATGCCACAATGGCCGCGGGCATACTTCACATGCGGTTGGCATATGATATGTAATTTGAACAAATTCATGGCCTGTAATTGAACCGAAGTAAGTAAAGTAAGTTCAAGAAATTAGATTACACGAAAATGATTTAAAACAGAGGATTTTGTGTTTACCCTTGAATGTTGTAATCCCGATTCGTTCATCGACAACGTTCTTTAATGTGCCCAGTTCCGTTTGATTTGGATCGTCTGGCCGTCGGGCTTCGCCTTCTCCAGCATACAATAATTGGAAAATTCTAGGAATTTCTTTGGCATCAGCTCTGATAACATCTCCTTGTGTTACGGGTCGAACATGAAACACTTTGCTGCATGGTCAAAATAGAAAATGCATTTTTTTCATTAGTTCAATTACAGATATGTCGTATTGACTCAGTACCAATAAAACTGAACTAAATTATTGCCGAAGGTAATATTCGCATCAAGCAAATGATGAACAAAAATCAACGGATAAATATGAAAATGTAAATTTAAAGTTTGCGATTATATGAATCACTGAATTTTAATCGTATTGAAATAAGTAAATGTAGGTTTTTTTGTATGAAACTAACCTTAAATCCAATATAAGCAATGGATCACAAGTATTTTGCTTGTCTACGTCTGAATTGTAAAAGATAATTTTACGCGATGAAACAACAACATATTGTCGTTTCCATCCATGTCGACGGATGTTTTGTTTGTTGGGAACACTAAGCCAGCCCTCAAACACCGACTCTTGATTGTCTTCATTGTCATTATCAGCTGATGATAACGATGCTGTTTCGTTCAATTTCATTTGCAAATGCTCGATTTCGGTTGCTTTGCAATCAATTTCCATTTGAAGTTTCGTTTTGGCCTGTAATCATCAAATCAAAATTATTTTTATTTAAAAAATGTCAAATGCTCAACGTTCACACAAACAAATATTGAACTTACATGAACTTCATCGTTTAATTGCGTTTGAATGTCTTGATATTTCAACAGCAATTCATTGTACTTATCACGTTCTTGTGTCAACTCCTGCTGAAGTCGTCGACTCTCTTTCTCTTTCTTCCGTAGATCGGCCGAGCTGACTTTTGTTTTATTTTTACCAGCATTGATTTGGCCATCTTTGCGATTCATGATTTCGGCTAGTTTATTAACGGCAGTTTGTTTCAATAAGATTTCATTCTTCAGTTTGGCTTGGAGTCTATCCATTTCGGCTTGATTGCTTTTATTTTGAGCAACTTCTTCCTTCAATTTATTATTGAGTTGCATGAGTTCCTCGTATTCGGAAATTTTCAAATTGAGCCGTTTCATGACTTCGGCTTCAGCCTCACGCAACATAACCAATGCCGACTCTTTTGTTGACAATTCATTGCGATGCTTCGACATCAGATCTTTTATTTCAAGCTCTTTGATTGTTTTCTCTTTTTCCAAATCGGCCACCGTTTCTTCGGCAATTGAACGGGCCAGCGCCTCTGAGTCAGCTCTCGCCAATGCGATTTGCAATTGATGTACAAGTGAACCACGTTCTTCTTCCAATTCTTGAATTCCACGGCCTTTTTCGTCATTTTCTTCGCGTAATTCGGTGCTTTGTGTTTTATATAAACGCGAAAAGTATTGTTCGGCCTCGAGTTGATCTTGTAGCTCTTTCATTTGTAGAATGTCTGCGTTGTGAGCATTTTTTATCTTGGAAATTTCATCTTCAAAACGACGTTTTGTTTCACGAAGCTGTGTTATCTCCTTGACTAATTGCATCTCTTTTGATTTAAGATGCGCCACCTCGGAACTTTGTAAACTCAATTCAGACAATAGTGTACTCTTTTTAGTTTGCTCTTGATCCAATTGAGTGTGCAGTGTGGACACCTTTTCAGTTTCCTGTGAAAATTAATTATTCATATCATCAATTGGAAATCGGTGTTGCAGTTGAAATGATTGATATTTCAAAATTGCGCTTACCTGTCTCAATTCGCCTTCAAGTTTCTGTAACCGTTGCTGAATTTGACGATAGTCCACAGATAACATTGAAATTTGACGTTCTTTCTCCTGTGATATTTGATCGGCTTTTTGACGCGCCATTTTCTCTTCATTCAATTTTGTTTGCAACGCTGTGAATATAAATGAAGTGGTGCCAGTTTTAGAATTATTTCAATGCGAAATCAACCTTGTCTGTTGTGCCTTACCTTTAACTTCCTGCAAATTAGCCTCTTCTTTGCTCATCAATCGAGACTTTTCGGTTTCACGATGCGCTATCACCTCTTGACTGTAGAGATTATGTGTGTTCTTCAGTTCTAAATTGATGGTGGCATTTTCCTTTTCCAAATTGGAGATGCGTTCATTGAGTGTTTGATTGTCTTGGATTGATTGTTGCTCTCGTTGAGCGTATCGCTCAAGTTCTGCATTAAGCGATGCAATTTTAATTTCCAATTCTTTTTCGCTTTCAATGGATTGTGTGCGTGCGCTACGTTCTTGTGCCAAGCGTGTCTGTAAATTGGCCACCTCTTGTTGCAATACATCCCGTTGTGCTTGTAGACCAGCTATAATCGATTGCAATTCGGTTGATTTTTCTTCCGCATCGTTTTGCAGCATTCGCAATTCGGTGAGTTGTTTTTTAAGTTTTTGATTGCCATCACTTTCATTTTTGACTTTTTCATGTAAATCAGCCAATTGCTTTTCAAGCATATTAATTTTATCGTTTTGCTGTTGATTATTGCTCATTTCTTTCGTGCGCTTATTTTGTTCATCGTCCAATCGTTTTTTGGTTTCGTTGAGTAGATTTTCCGTTTTCTTCCGTTGTTCAATTTCATTCTCAACTTTGCGCTGTGCATCACGATAATTGTGCTTAAGCATCGTCAATTCTTTGTCATAGTTTGTTATTTGAGCGGTTATTTCGCGCTCATGTTGGGTTGCTTTATCCAACTGAGATCGTAGACTTTTCTCATGTTTTTCGAGCGATTCAATGTGAGCCCGTTCACGTTCGAGCAATTTTTCTAAGCGTAAAATTTCATGACTATTCGATGGCCGATGATGATGATTATGTTGTACAATTTTGGTCGTTGCAGTCGAATCGATGACATCGTTTGAAAGCAATTGATAATCACTTGCGTATGTGAAACCGATAAATGGTAAATGATTGCCGGCAAATGTTTTTGGCACTGGAAATAATTCTTCGGGCGTTTCATCACGTTCAATTTCATCAAAATTGCGTGTATCATCGTCACTGTTCAGTTCCGGCACCACTGGTGGCACTAATTCACGAATATTATCAAATGTCCAATCGGAATTTTGGAAAAATGGATGCTGCTTGATTTCGTCAATTCCATTGCGACCCAATCGCACCTCGCTATCGGTTAGAAATGCTCGAATCAACGATTTTGCATTTTCACTAATTTCAATGTCCGGCGGAAAGTTAAGCGATTTCTTATGCTCCATAATTTTACCGTAAGTACCAACCAAACTATCGGCATAGAATGGTGTGTCGCCGATAATCATTTCGTATAAAAATATTCCAACCGACCACCAATCACATTCGCGACCGTATTCACCTTCGTTACCTTGTGATTGTAACACCTCGGGACTTATGTAATCGGGTGTACCGACCGCATTGCTTGATCTCACCAAACCATCCGCTCCCATTCGCATACACGTACCAAAATCGGCCAATTTCAAATGACCCGATCGATCCAATAGCATATTGTCGGGCTTCACATCGCGATGAATGAAACCCATATTGTGTATGGTGTCCAAGGCAAGTACCACTTCCATTGTATAAAAAACAGCCCATTTTTCCGGAATTTCATACATTGACATCAAACTAACGATATCACCGCCCGGCATGTATTCCATCACCATGTATAAATATTTACTATCTTGAAATGCAAAATGTAATTGTACGATCCATTCGGAATTCGCATGGGCCATAATATAACGTTCTTCCCAGAAAAATGCCGAATCCGGTCGTTTGATCATTTCAAATTTTGATAAACGTTTCATGGCATAAAGTTGCTTTGTCGCTTTGTGGCGCACCAATTGTACTTCGCCGAATGCGCCCCGTCCAATCACTTTAATCACATTAAAATCATCTGGATTCATGCGAAACGACTGAATTTCACGCGATAACGCACCATCTGCAAAGATAACAACATTTTCAAATTGAGTTTTTTTGCGCTTGAGAGTCCAGTATTCAACAGGTTGTCCGAATGAAAGAAAATTGAAAAAAAAAAAAATAAATAACTTACATCGATTCATGTAGGTCTCAATGTTTTTGATGCGTTTGACTGTGTCATGATCAAAGTCATGCATGAGAGCGGTGACTGTGTCAAGCAATGAATCAATGTTTGAAACGCTTGATGGGTCCCGCAACCTGCTTTCTAGCTGACTTAACCTTTAAAATTGGAAGAAATGAAGAAACAAATTGTCAATGCTCTCTCTCTCTCTCTTTCCGTCTCCTTCGCTCAACAAATAGCCAATTTAAATGAAATAAACAATTACCTATTACGACGATTTTCGTCTATTTGATCCATGTTTGTAAGAAATATTTAAAAATTTAACTTGACTGTGTGTGTATTTCGTATTATTCTTCTTCTAGCTGAGAATAAATGCTGTATTGTATGAGGGAATATTCCATTCGATGCAATTTCGTTGCACTCAATTTGCGTTAATTTCGTTATGGGCTATTGCTTTGTCGGCAAAATTAAATGAAAAACTGGTTACGACCGGGGAAAAAAAAGAGTCACACATCCCAATTTTTCGTTGGTTAGTTGTTTGTCACACAAACTTTTAAACAACAACAAAAAAAATTAAAATGTACACACACACTTCTTCGCTTACAGCTTCAAAACCATTTTATTTTCTTCATTGTTTTTGTTTCGGTCGTTCCTTTTCAATGTGCACGATTGCATTATAATACACACCGCCACCCAAAACCGACTGGCAAACACTAAATGGAAAAATCTTTTTACGATTTTATGCGAAGTGTATTTGAATTTCGTTGGCGTTGTTGTTGTTGTTGTGGTTCTACGAATCAAAATGTCATAAATGCAATGCCATGAATTGTATGCATGTCGGTGTAGTTGCGGCTGCTGTATGATGTGTGTTGTTGATTCAATTTGCTCTATCGTAATAATGTTGTATGACTTTGTTTTTATTTATTTCAATTTAATGTTCAATGCATTTTAATCAGTGTCACATTGGGTGTCTATTTTTCCCTCTCTCGCTGTCGTTGTCCCGTTCTCCTCCGTTTGCGTGCTTATTGTTTACAGTTTTAATGTTCACTCTGTATCAAAGTATGTTATCAACAATGTTCATCCTTGTTTTTGTTATAGCCGTCCATCAATGGCATTTAATTCTATTTTAATTATAAACAATGCGCAAAAAAACAAAAGAAAAATAATCACAAACACGAATGTAGATAGAGAGAACGAGATGCTCTCTAGTACACACAATTTCTTTTTTTCATTAGGCACTATTGGTTTGTCAATGTGTATGATGTGTTTTGTGCGCTTGTATTTCGGCCGCACCACAGTATGTTATTGTTTCACCAAAAACGTCGTAACTATACAACAATAATATTTAAAAAAAAAAAGTAACATAAGAACTATTACATGTACAGCACGTTTGCTATGACTGCGCTACGGCAATGACAGTTGTCATAGTTTCCTCTGTATATACAACATACACTGTGTACACACTTCGACCGACCGACACAACAGAATGGAGCGCAGATACACATTCACAGCACCGATATATCCCGAATATTCATAAGTGTGAAACAAAGAAAAACTTGCACTTCGAAAACCAATTCACACATTCGATATAGATTCCAAGCTGTTTTCAATTGAGTTGAGATTTGCTTTTTCTGAATTGTTTGCTGTTGTTGTTGTTGTTGTTGCTGATACTTTTTGCGAACTCTTACATGCCACACTATTATAATTAAAATCAATTGTACGCTATTGCATATCACGACCGCGAAATAAATGGGATGATGTGTTTTTATTTGTTCCTTTTTTTTCTTCGTTCGCTTGTGCAATTGATTTTCGTCTATGGCATAGAAATCGAATGAGATTTTTCTTCAACAAATGATCGATGCCGTACGGTTTCTTGTTCCTGTATCAATTGTTTTGTCATCAATTGATGCTGCGGTTCAATTGTTATGGCGATCGTTGTTGACTTTGATGATTCTATTATGGTAAATGGATGTGACATACAAAAAACGGCGCGCTCGCGCTGTAAATTGCTTTTCGATGTCAACAAGATCACTTGAATCTTGTCAAATATTGCAAACAATTAACAAATAATACACAGATAACAAACAGAAAAAACACTTTGATCGAACCGAATTTTTTTAATTTGTTTGATCGCTCACTCAATATCACTTAATTTCGATCGAATTTCAAGCACTCGACGAAATTTTAAGGCACTCTAGCATTTGAAAGTAAAACAAAATTCAACTAATATTGATTTAGCCACTTTCTTATACAATATATGTATATGTAACAACTGAGATGGAAAAAAGAGAGCGCACTGATGGAAATCGAAACAAACAGAAGTCTATAGCCTTGTTTTTTTTTTGTTTTCGTGTGGAAGTAAAAACACGAGCTTGGCTAAACACAGTACGCGTTATTTTAAATCAAATATTTGTTATGCGATATGTCTCTCACTCACTGATGGGCAAACCATTTGCTTAGTTATTCGTTTAAGAAATGAAACGACGACACATTCACATGCCAAATTGCACACATAATAAAGACATATACGAACAATGTTTTGTTGGAAATTGTGAGGAAAAGCAAAAAAAAACGTGTGCACAAACTGCACCGGACAAAAATCACTTCGACCGACACTAAACTGAAACGAAACAATACATATATGTGTATGTGTGTGTGTCTTTCTTGTTTAAAAAAAATTACACGAAGGACGTAAAATCCTTCTGCAAAATCTCGTTTTTGTTGTTTTATTGTTATTATGTATTCATTTGTGCATCACATTTTCAATGCGGATTGTCTTACGTTTTCACATATATATCTCTTTTAGCTCTTCTCTTGGTATGTTTTCTTTTCGTTTATTTTTTTTTTGTTAAGTTTTACGGTTGTGTCGTTTCTTCATTCTTTCCGGCCTCTCTGTGGTCCGTCACCATTGAAAACTTGAAATTCTATTTTGCACACCGATCGCACAGAAACATACACACAGTCTGCTATTTCGCTGCCTGTTCACACACAACAATTCGTTTTTTCGTCATTCTTCAGCTTGTGTTCGCCATCAAAAATTACACAAAACACAATCAAATATGGTTTTTAAATGTTCAATGATTTTAAAATACTATTTAGCACAATTGAAATACTTTGGATATTTGAAGAACAACCAAAATTTTAAAGTTCGAAACGAATAAAAAAAAGAAAAGAAAAAGTAGAATTTTGTGTAGTAGACTGTCGTACATACGATATATATATTCACGTATGTGGATGTTTTGAGTGTGTGACAACGACTGGTAATGTTGTAACGCGTACGAAGAACACCCGCTGCTTCTTCTTTTCGATTTCGTAGTGCTTTTTCCGTCGTCGTTGTCGTTGTTGCCTTCTTCTTCTACTTTGCAACTTCGGTTTTATTACTATATTTCGTTTTTATCTATATTGTGTGTATGAAAGTTAACAACGGTCATCTTTTTCAACGTATTGCACACATGTGTGCGTGCCGATTGGGTTTTCTTTCTTTTCTTTCTTTCGGTACTTCTCGAAAAGTGTTCGAGACCTTTTTCCTTGTCTTTGCTCTCTCTCTCCTTCTCTTTTATTCTTTCTTACTACACTATGGCATTTGAATGTATGTGTGCGCGCGTGTGTGTGTGTGTGTATTCGCTGTGTGTACTCAAATGTGACACCGACGATTTAATGCGATATATTCACGCATATAGATTCTGTTGTTAACCGAATACATTTATGCACAATGGTACCAACTGTTTAGATTTTGATTGCGCTCCACGCTTATATTGGCATATATGAGTTCGATACAGACGCAATCGCGCGCACACTCACACAGATCTCCGATGAACACACACGCAAACGCGCGCACTTACATACATGGAAAAAGTAAACGAAACGCGCTTCACCCAAGTAGAAGAAGAAGAAGAAGAAGAAGAGGAAAACCATTTGCACATATGTGCTCAGTGTCATGCACAGAAATTAGGCGTATGCGCATGTGCTTGTGTATGCACTAAATTCAAACGAAAGAAACATGAATTTTGGAAGCGAATTTCATTTTTCGATTTTTCTTTTCGAATCCGTATGTTTTGATTTGAATTTGGGTGCGCAAAAAGAAGTAGAAGATCAAAGTCAATGAAACATCGTCGATCGGTTCATTTTGACCACATTGATACATACAATATACGTATGTTTAACTGTAAGCAGCGTTCAATGTTCACTCTTGACCAAAGTCTTTTGCGTCGTCATCGTCTTTGGTTTTTACGCACGTTCCATTGACGAACCGACAATTCACACTTCTTACACACCAAATGTTTGCACAAACACACATACACAGAGACACAATCACCAGCACCGGACTCAAGACTATGTCATAAAAGACGTTTTTCAACCAAATTACCTAAAACATGCGTATACCGCACATCGCGCTTATGACTAATATAATATACTTTTTTTTGACCAAATGACCGTTCATAAATATCTTTTAATGCTTTTTTGATGATATTTAAATTTTCATCGACACTCAAATGATTCACAGATGGATTATGCAGTTTTCAAAACGATAAAGAAAAACATAAAAAAGCACACGGTTGTTCCACTTTGTAGACTCACTGACACTATTGGACTTTGATTCTTTCACATCGACCATTTCATTTGGAATTCTTTGGGACATTCTGTGATTCAATTTACAAATTTTCAAACTAAAATGTGAGATTTTCCAAAGAGAATTTCAATTTGCATTTGAATTAAATTGGATTATAAAGTTAAGAGTCTTCCAAGAATTTTTTTTAAATCATGGCTTTAAGTCTCTATAAACCGTAATTTAGTTCCGCTTATGTTTTTGCGCAATTGAGCGGTGATGTGAGATTTAATTTACGATAAAGGTATGTCTTTGATTCGGTAAATGGTCACTGGAAATCGTATATTTCTTAACGTCCGAAAATCGTTAAGGAAATACAATTTTTTTTTATCGAAAATAATCATAGCTTTATGACTAGCGAACTCATATGACGCGCATTTGAAAATAAAAAATGTGAACCACAATTTATGGATCTGTTATCAGACTACAGCCCTATATTATAATGATTGGATCACAAGATGTTTTCTTTGACAATTTTTCTATCGGAATTTGAACCTATTCTCATAATCAAACTAACGCGAGCCGAGCCCCATAAAAGGTGTGACGAGAACAGTAAAAATTTGCACCGTCTCGTTAAAAAAAGAACAATTGTCTCGCGTTGAATTCGAATAATATACTGTCGCGTAAAACTCTGGGCATCGTGCAAAATTCAAAATATTCAAAAGAATGAGAACAAACATAAATAAGTAATAAATTCAAGCCAAAAATGATAAGCGCAATGTGTCTCTTTGCACAATTTGTGACGACTTTCTTCTGTGAAAAAGATGAATTGTCAACAAAATGACTGTTTCAGTGACTAAATTTATCTGCTTACATTCCAAGATCGGCATGTGATCGAGTAAAAACAGACCTCCGTGCCGCTCACGATATATTTACATTGTTTGGGGTCATAAAAATATCCGACTGTGTAAAATGACGGAATACATTCCACCATTGCGACAATATAGCAGCAATAATAGTATAATTTTGTTTTAAGTGTCACATAGCACTAAAACTGTGTGTGAAATATGCGATTAGATAAAAGAGAATGTTGGGTGCATTTCAACAGTTTACAGTGATGTATCACGGGCTTCCGTTTCTCGCTAAGTCAACTAATACTGGCTAGAGCTCAAGATAAAAAATAACAACAACAAAAATAGAAAAAAAATGTGTTTTGTCTTTTACTCCATTTATTATTATAATGGAATTTTCAGACGTAATACAAATACAATGAAATATTGTAAATAGTTCTTTTCAAATTTAAGCTGTCTTGGCTGCAACAGTGGCGGCTTGGGCTTGTTCTTCGCGGATACGATCCTTTTTGAGTGGTCCCATGAATGCCAATTTGTCGGCTGGTGTTTGGAAACGACCGTGTCCCATTTTTGATGCGGTATCGATGAATTTCAATTGGATTTGTTCCAATGCCGAACGTTTGGTGTGGACAATCAATGATTTACGCAATGTGATGATACGTTTGCGTGAACCAATGCAGCATCCCTTGATCATGACAAAGTCATTGTTCACTTCACCATAGTGAGGGAAACCACCCATTGGGGTGATTGATTTGTCGGACAAATCGTATTGGGTGGAAGCGTTGTTCTTGACGATCTGCAAATGCATACAAAAAAATATTCAAATTAGTACATTTTGCACATGAACATGGGGAAACAAAATATATTCTGATTTTTTTTTTTGGTTTGTCAGTCCTATCATTTAAGATTTCATGTTTGTATCATAAAATTGTAAATATATTTGGCTCAATGATTTTCTCATCTTCGAAATGTTCAAATTGAAATTGGAAAAAAGGTAAAAAAAGAGGTGTTTACCTTGCCATCCTTGGTGTGGATACCGGCACCAATACGGTAGATCTTCTTGTTGACTTCGGTACGGTGATGGTAACCCTTTTGACCGGCACGGGCAACAGTGAACGATACACGACTTGGATGCCATGCACCAATACAAGCGACCTTACGCAAACCCTTGTGTGTCTTGCGTGGCAATTTCTTTGTGTGCCAACGGCTGGTGACACCCTTGAAACCTTTACCTTTGGTTACACCAATGGTATCGATCATCTCGTCTTGGGCAAAGACTTGGTTGACTGGAACTGGTTTTTCCAAATGTTCTTTCACCCAGTTGACTTTGTCTTCAATGGAACCTCCGTTCAATTGGATTTCCATAATATGAGCCTTCTTTTGGCGTTGCTTGATCAAACGGATCTAAATTGAAATAAAACAACACAATTTGGATAAGTTTTTTGAAATTAAAAATGTGAAAAAGAAAAAAGTGAAACAAAATTTAGAACATAAATTGGTTTTGTACAAAATATGGTTTATCTCAATGGTAATCGCTTAAGCAGCTCCAAAAAGAATATGGAATATATCTGATACTGCCTCCCGAAGGGCGGTTTGTTCTGCGACGTTATGGTAATCATCCAGCATTTTGTGCTGAAATCGCCCACTTGAAAGTATACAATCGAAAATTCGGCAGTTACCCGCCAAACTTCGACTGAACTTCTTCTAGTCGCGTGTATGCCATCAAAAAAATAACTAATTAAATGTTTAATTACCTGCGAGTGTACGATGACACGAACGTATTTGCAGTATTTGATCATTTTCTTGAAGTCAGCTTCGATGCTCTTCTTTCCGAATGTATCGGTCCATTTCTTGCTGGCCTTGGTGAATGCCTTCTTCTTGCTCTTGTACCTGAATAATCAAGATGGAAACGACGTGTGTTGGTATACGAATTACGTCACTGCGGGTACCAGAGACAAAGAACAAACGCTCTCATCAATAGCGACACACAAATGTGCCGATTGAGAGGAGAATGAATGTTCACGCCATGTTTTACCACTTGTGTTTAAAACCGCATTGAACCGAAATTATCGATTCGAGTTCACACAACAAGGGCTCACATAACTAAATATGTTCGCTCTTTCATATAGATCGAAGCGCTTTTGGAATTCGTATGGTTATTTATTGGCTCATATGTATTTTTTATGGAATTGATGTATTTGAGCAAAAAATGAAGGTGAAATAAATCAATAAGAGTAAAAAAATTACCAATTCTTGTAGAATCGACGACGGCATTCTTCCGACAAATGTTGAGCCCAAACTTGGACCAATGAACGGCAACCGAATGGTGTTTCGATATAACCGACAGCACCAACAACAACCACTGGTGGTGTTTCAATGATGGTGACAGCCTCAACAACTTCTTTCTTGTTGATCTCTGAAAATTACCAATAAAATGGACGCAATAAGATTCACTGATTCAAAACATAAATGAAAAAAAAAAAACGGTTTTTTTGGTAGGAAAATCAGACCGCCCTAGAATATTCAACACAAAGTTTCAGTTATCTAACCATAAACTTATAATAAAGGGATATCATCATAGAAAATATGAACTTCGACAAGAGAAAATACATTTTTCTCAATTGTTAATACGAAATAAATGAAAAAAACTTAAAAAATGCTTACTTGATCCTGGACGATCAGCCTCACGCACAATGTGGGTCATACCAGCTTTGTAGCCGAGGAAAGCAGTCAAATGGACTGGTTTGGATGGATCATCCTTTGGGAAAGCCTTTACCTTTCCGCGATGTCTAGCGGCACGCTTTTTTGGGTAGAATGCCATTGAACCATGGCGAGGAGCCGAGAATTTACGGTGAGACTGTAAAAAGAGACAACATAATTAGATTACACAAATTGAGGTTATGTTTACAAAAATTGTACAAAAAACGCGTTTTCGTATTATTTTTTTCTAAAAATCGCACTAAAAAATGCCGATAATCGTGATAAAACGTTGGAAAGTGTTCGAAAATAATAGTTTAATTGCTTTTGAAACGAAAAAAATATATTGAATATTTTCATAGTGCCATGTGGCTATTGAAACTTTTTTCACCATGCGGTCGCGTATCAATGTTTCAAATTCGCACTTTTTTACGGATTTTATATCAATAATTCAAGAATAAAACTTTAATTTCTGTAGCTATTCAATTGTATTCGATTTAAATCGCAAAATTTAACGAAATAAAGAATAAAAAAATGAACTTTTTCAAGATATTTACCATTTTGCTCTCGAGTACAGAACTGTATTCTTCGAGATGTTGAAGTGAAAAGAAATGGTTGTCGCTTTGTATGGATGATAATGTGGTCGCGGCAGACACTCAGCGCCATTGACACGTTGACAATTCCCGAAACTAACATTATACGAGTGAAGTTGCTGCGAAAGCGCTGCAATTCAAAACTTTATTCTATTTTTGTACAAATTTATTGTTTTTTTGTGCATTTCAATATTTTACCTGAAAATCAATAGATTTCGTTTATTGTGATTTCGTTTAATGAAGGAAAATTAGACTTTCTGTCGATAATTATCGACCGCCAGACGTTGTAATTCCATTGGTTCGTTTCTTCATTCGTTATCTATATTTGCATTTGTTTTTCAGATTCGTTTGATAAAAATTCTTATCTCTTTCCTCAGGTATGTAATTGTGGCATCATAATTATTGATGTGTTGCTCATACCTTTACAATTCTGATTAAAAGTGCGTTTTTTTCAGCTTAAATTCGTACCAAATACATACAACGAACGATATATATGTCGAATAATTGCTGCTGCTTATTATTATCTCTTCGTCAGTTAAAAGTATGGCGTAGAAAGATTCAAACGATACATTTGTATCCAGTCATTTGTGATGTAATTTTGTGCTTTGAAAATTACTGAAATATTTCGCTTTTTTAACAAATTATTTGCATTGAAGCATGTGGAAGTGTTTTTTCCATTATTCTTGTGGTACTGATTGTCATTTTACCTGAGTTCATTTGAATATCGTGTACGCAACAAGCGACCCATATCAATTAACACGTAAACCGTAACGACACTTCTTATCAATTTTCTTTTTCGGTGGGTGGAGAACAAAAAAATAAATTACGTTCCGTTCATCGCATAAATTGCTAAGTTTAAAGTGTTTCGTGCACAATTGAACTTTTCCATATCCAAACCAAGTGCGCATTTTGTACAAACCAGTCGAGACATGAATATGAATCCGTATTATGATCCAGAATGGAGTGTTTTGCCTCCGGAAAATAACCGCCGGTATGTATATAAGTGCTTTTCGATGAAACATGATAAAATTCATAGCGACAGTGGTAATTTGTCTACGTTAAATCAAAGTTTGGCTAGCATTCAACAAGTGTAATGTGCTCTGAAGATTAAGTGCAACATTTCCAACAGGTGTTTGACTCATTGTAAACGATACAATTACGAGAGTCTGCTAGTCAGTTCACTCAATGAATAAATTAAAATACAAATCATGCAAGTTTATTATTTGCTTTGAGTAGCACTAATCACGACCATTCACATCAAATATGGATTTTTAGTAATACAATCCATATGGCTTCATACAAAATCGTGCCTATGTATAATTCCGTCAATTGAATGGTCAGTTGTCCTTATTCTAACTGTCGTGATATTTTGTGTTAATGACACATCGAAAACGATGACGACTTTGTTAGGCACAGTTATTCAATAACAACGACCTTGTGCAATGTTTAAAACCATATAGATAAATCAACGCGGATCGCTTCCAATTCAAAACCATAACTAATACATGTTATTTATTTATGTTCCAATGTTCTTGTGCGTTGCGTGAAAATAGTATGTTTGAAAATAAATGAATTGAAATGAATTATATTTTTTGTTTTGGAAACGTGCCTACTGGTAATTGGAGTGTATTACCCATGGCACTTGTTTATTCTTGATCATTTTTCCTCCAAAAAGTAGAACAAATCTTTTACACAAGAATATGCGGTGAATTTTGTTAAATTCGATAGAATCAAAAAATAAAAATAAAAACTGAATCGAATTTCGGTTCCAAATCAATCTCGTTTCATAGTTATCACCGAAATCAATTTGGCTAATTTTCATTTGGGCATTCTTATTTTTTCCATTCATTTGCTGTACCATAGTCACTCAGAATTCAATTTCAACGCTAATTCTCTGATTAAATTAGAAATACTGGGGAAAATCCAGCGAAAATGTCATGTAACTTTTATTGATATTAAAAGCACATTCAATAACGATAGTATTCATCTAAAACTTGAGTCAAATCGCCACAAAAGCAGCCATTTTTTCCGATAGGGACATGTGCCAAACAAAAAACATCCAACGTTACAATATATACTACGGGGCCAACAATACATCCACATACACACGCACATGACTAACTGTGTGCAAGAATAAGATGTGATGTTCATTTGATTTAGATAGATGGAAAGAGATACAATTTATACAATCTGAACTACAAGTGTTTACAGTGTATGGCGTAGTTAGTGTTTGAGTGAACGTCAAAATGTCAACTCGTCCATTTTTCATTTGATAAATTTTATTTAATTTTTATTCTGAACTTTTGTTTGCAAACGTAAAACGAAAATCATCCGTCAAAAAAAAAACAATCAAGAATATTGTAGGAGTAGAGTTCATTCAAATGTTTTCGGCCATTTAATTTTTTCTATCAAAGTGTAAAATAAAAACAAAAGAGTGGATGAAAGATTTTCAACTTGCATATCACTGTGTAATAAAAACGAAAACGCGAGTGGCTTTATATCTATTCAATTTCACTTTTTCGGTACCATATACACATACCTTTGCGCTATTGCCTTGTACAATAAGAAAAAGATATTTTTTGTTCTTTGAATTTCTTGTTGCATATTTTTCATTTCATGCAATTGGTCTTTAAGAAAGGAAAAAAAAGGTGTACGGAAAATACGGTTTAATTTGTTATAATTTGATTTTTGCTTGCGTGTGGCAATGTCAAATTGTCTGACTTTTCCTCTCTGTCCTCCTCACATATTTTGATTCCATACGTCAAAAGACGAAGATTTCAAAAAAAAAAAATTCACGCGACACAAAAATTTTCCCGATATTGACCGATTTGATATTGTGTGGCATCCGGTGTGTATGGTTTATGTTACCAATTCGTATATAGTATAGTCAATCAATTCGATTAACGTGAAACGTATGTGTGCGGTTTGTACAAACAAGTGTGAGGTGCATAAATGTGTACGAAAAATTGATTCACAATGGCCGTTGTGTGATGTTGATGATGATGTGTATATTGTGTGTTGTGTATATGAAAGTCAATATGCAAATCAGTTTAATTCGGCGTTTTTTTTTTGTTCGTCATACAGTACGATTGGACAGTTTGAATTGAACTTGAAGTGACGATATGCAATTCAAAATAAATGAATATCTCGTGATAAAAGAACATTTGATTAAAATTGTTTTGCATTCAAAATCTGTTTACTCCAGTTTGTTCACAATTTAATTGAATCCCACGCATTTCACCAAAAGACGACATTTACTTTATATATATATAGATTTTTTCCGTATTTATACAGTCTTTTTTGTCGTACATTTTTTCCTTCTTTTTATGTGGATTTTTATGTATCACCTTTTTCCATATGAAATACGGCTTTCATACTGGCTTTTGCTCTAAATATACTAGTACACTCTCCGCCTTCTTTTCCATTTCTTGCAAATAGATCAATTAACAAATTTATTTTTTGTCATTCCATTTGGATTGCGCTTGGTTCAACAAAACCCACCTAATTTCTGTCTTTTCTTATTCATTTGTGTTACAGCAAAATTATCCATTTAAAAATAAAACATTCATACATATAATAAAACAAAAACTATCAAGATAAGCATGAACTCAGAGCACGGGTAATTACTATCGATAAATTTATTGTTAGCCACTTTTTGTTGTGTACGTGTTGAAATTGCAATCTAACCGATAAAAAAAAAACATGTGAATCGACGACCATAAATCGAATTTATGTGCTATGAAAATGGTGTCACCAAAATCGAAACATTGCTACACTGCAATGGAATTGGTTCGTCTCATTTTCAAACTGCAGCATATTTATAAAATATGGTGCACTGATTAAATCGATTTAGAGTGCATAAATTTTAACACAACAGCAAAAATGAGAAAAAATGCTTTTGAAGCATTTTAGTCGAGGTGTTTTTTTGTCTCTCTTACTAAATGATCTAATATTTCCACCATTTTTCGAGCACATGTTCTTGTAATAATTTGTTGTGATTTCTATTTTCATGAATAACATCATATTGCAGATTTAATCCAGCATTTAACATGGCCACCATCCGTCAGGCAATTAACGAAGCCGTCGAACGGGGTAACACACATTTTTCTTTTGTTTATATTCCGCTATCCGTACTCTTTGTTATTGTGGTTGTTGTTGTTTTTTTCAAATGGTGTTTATTTAACTATGCTCTATTTGTTATTCAATTATACTAGAATGCCTTATGATTTGTAACAATGAATTTTAATGAGTCGATTTTTTGTCCATTCTGTTTTTTGTAGTGAGAATGCCGACACCGACTCGATTAAGAGATTTAATACGTCAAATTCGTGCAGCACGAACGGCGGCCGAAGAACGTGCCGTTGTAAATAAAGAATGCGCCTACATTCGAAGCACATTTCGTGAAGAGGACTCAGCATGGCGATGTCGAAACATTGCCAAATTACTTTACATTCATATGTTAGGTTATCCAGCACATTTTGGACAGTTGGAATGTCTCAAATTGACCGCTAGTCCACGATTCACCGACAAACGAATCGGATACTTAGGTGCAATGCTATTGCTTGACGAACGCCAAGATGTGCATTTGTTAATCACAAATTGTTTGAAAAAGTATGGACTCACTCCTTATCATTCCTATGGGTCATTATGACAAATTAACTAATTTTATAAAATGTTTTCTTTCATGGCTGCAGTGACTTGAATAGTACAACACAGTTTGTAGTTGGATTAGCTTTGTGTACATTGGGTGCGATTGCATCACCAGAAATGGCACGTGATTTGGCTAGTGAAGTGGAACGTTTGATGAAATCACCAAACGCTTATATAAGGAAAAAAGCAACATTATGCGCATTTCGCGTTATTCGTCGCGTGCCTGATTTGATGGAAATCTTTTTGCCTGCCACCCGATCTTTACTCAGCGAAAAAAATCACGGTATTGGAGTCCATTGAAGATTCGATTTTTATTTTGAAACTAAGACAATTTCTTTGCAGGAATTTTGATAACTGGAGTGACTCTCATAACCGAAATGTGTGAAAATAGCCCTGATACACTCAACCATTTCAAACAGGTATACATGAAATTTCATTTTGACATAATCGTTAGTCACATTTCCATTTCACATTCTCTCTCGCTAACACTAACTAACATACACCATATACAATATGTATATTTCATTATTTGTCACAAATAACTAATGCTTTTTCATTAACACCTTGTCTTACACCGTGTGTTGTACATCTTTTTTCGTATTATTGTACTACAAAACAACCTCGTAAATTGTAAATTCACGACACGAAACGTTTTTTTTTTCAAAATCGTATTCGTCTTATCGCTAACCAGGATAGCGGAGGTCGAGAGGTATGCTTCAATTTAGTGCAAAATTCACTTTTGCTTTTCTTTTGAATGCATGTCTCAATTAATATTTCCGTAGCTGTGTATATATATTAGAATAGTAAGAGTTGACAAAATATGTGAAAAAAATATCACAATGAAAATACCATTAACTTTTTATTTATCAAATCATAATTGTTGATGATGTTGAATCAATTTAAACTGATTTTTCTCGTTATCGTAGATTGTTCCAAATCTGGTGCGAATTTTGAAAAATTTGATTTTGGCCGGCTATTCACCCGAACATGATGTCAGCGGTGTTAGTGATCCATTTTTGCAGGTAAAAGAGCAATTTTTACACACAATTTACCTCTTGTCACAGTTGATTTCATTTCTTTTTTCCCATTGTTCTTATTCACTCTATAAAAATGTTCAAATCGATTTTTTCCGCTTGATTGCAGGTGAAAATTCTTCGATTGTTGAGAATATTGGGACACAATGATCCGGATGCATCAGAAGCGATGAACGATATTTTAGCTCAGGTTGCAACAAATACAGAAACGAGCAAAAATGTTGGTAACACCATTCTATACGAAACGGTGCTGTCAATTATGGACATACGGTAAGTGCCCATAAACGTGTGTACCTTTAAATTTCACATTTTATTGAGTGCTTTTTCGGTGAATGTATTTCAGTTCGGAAGGTGGCCTACGCGTGTTGGCTGTTAACATTCTAGGTCGATTTTTGTTGAACAGTGATAAGAATATCCGTTATGTTGCATTGAATACGCTGTTGCGAACGGTGCATGCGGACACGTCGGCTGTGCAACGACATCGTACAACGATATTGGAATGTTTGAAAGATCCAGATGTATCGATAAGACGCCGTGCCATGGAATTGTCATTTGCATTGATTAATGCACAAAATGTTCGTTCGATGATCAAAGAATTGCTGATATTTCTGGAGAAATCCGATTCAGAATTTAAGGCATCGTGTAGCAGTGGTTTAATATTGGCCGCTGAAAGATATGCACCAACGAAACGTTGGCATCTTGATACACAATTGAGCGTTTTGATTGCTGTTGGCAATTTTGTGCGTGATGATGTGGTTTCGTCGACAATTCAACTGATTTCGAGCAGTTCATCAAGCGATCAAGGATATATTACCGGTCAATTGTGGGACGCATTACTTTCAGCACCAAATGTCGAGGACAAGCAACCATTGCTTCAAGTTGCATTGTGGGCCATCGGAGAGTATGGCGATATGTTTGTTTATGGAGAACGAACTAATGGTAAGGACTTGTTTCACTGGTGTGGAAGATTGTTTCTAAACACAATTTCTATTTGATATTTTCCAGATATTCCAACGGATTCCAATATCATTGAATTCTATCAAAAATTGTTGTGGTCATCTCAAGTATCAATTACGACAAAGCAATACATATTGGTGTCGCTAATAAAACTTAGCACTCGCTTGCATAGCGGTCAAGAGTAAGTTTAATCAATCCCATTTCTCACCATTTTATCATGACCAATTGAATGACAATTTTATTGTGTTACAGTGAAATAAAGTGCATAATTGATGGGTTTGGATCGCATTTGGACATTGATTTACAACAACGTTCAGTGGAATTTTCACAATTATTCAAGGCGCACAATAATTTGCGTCCAGCCCTACTAGAAAAAATGCCACCCATGCAAATAACGCGAGATTCAAATCAAAATTCAGAATTTAATGAAGAAAGTGAAGAACTCATTACGAATGGCGATGACAATGGAGAGAATTTGAATAGCAAAATTGCACCGAGTGATTCAGTGAGGATTTCTTCTCAAACGACTTTACTTTCATTTCTATCACTCTTTTGCATATTTTAATGATTTTCATCTTTTGTTCCATCATTGCAGAATGCCTTACTGGATTTACTTGGTGAAAATAGCAGTCCGATGATGTCGCCCACATCCATGAATCCATCCGAAAAGCAACAATATTCTAGCAATAATAAACAAAACAATGCCATGCCCAGCAGTGATTTGCTTGATTTGCTCGGTGGTCTTGGAAGTGATGCAATCACAACATCATCGGCAACAACAACAACGGTCGCAACAAATGATAATTTAAATAATACAAATGGCATTAATATCCTATCAATGCTACCAAACACCCTATCACCATTGTCACCAACCACCGGCAATAATATACTGAGTAATAATTTATTTGATGACCTCACCGGTAATTCGACAAATAACTCAATAAGCGGCGGTGGTGGTGGTGATGGCGGTGACAGTGTAAAAATAACGGCTTTAGATAAAAACGGATTGAATATTACGCTAGTGCCTAACAAAAGTGTTGGCGATGGATGTCTACGTGTTATCATGTTAGCCACAAATAATTCACTAAACACACTCGAACAGTATTTATTCCAAGCGGCTGTTCCAAAGAGCTTTACATTACAAATGCTATCGCCATCTGGATCGGTTTTACCGCCCGGCGGTACCATTTCACAAGAGATGCGATTGACCAGTTCGTCAAAGGTATGGACTTTTCATTGTACTTCAACGTAGGTTCTGGCACTGGTAAGTCTGGACAGGACATGGCCGAAAATCGATACAGGGTCCCAGCCGAAAATTAATAAAATTGCTACGGGGCTTTGAAATGCTTGGGCGGTCGATTCGACCTATACGACCTATGTCAGAATCTATGGTGTTCGATGTTGTATTGCGTTCACTAACGTACGTGATTCACCTATAATTATTGACTTTTTGCTCTTTTTCTTTCAGTGCGCTTTGCGAATGCGACTTCGTATATCATATGTGATCAATGGCAATCCAGTACTTGAACAAACTGAAGTCAACAGTTTTTCAGAAGATGCATTTGACTAAGAATGAAGACTACAAATTCTTATGAGTTTGTCCCTACTTTGTTTTAATTTCGTCACTTTCATCATTGCTAAATATTGTGCTGATTTAGTTTTTATTAGTTCACCGTTTCTCTATCTCTAACGCGTAAAAAACTACACACACACAAAAAATGTTAGAAAATGAATTAATTAACCATGTATTTATAACTAAACAAAAATGAATCAATTATTATATCGAAAATGCGTGAATTCATTTGCGGCATCGTTGTGCGAGATACATCAACGCCCACAAAACTACTTTTACTTAATTTTCAACTATTCAAACATTATGTTTTTGTTTAAATTAGTGAAATGGAAAAATAAGAAGAAACTGGAAAGAAACAAACAACACCGTTTTATTTTATGTTAAAAACAGAAGAAAGACAGACAGAGAGAGAGAAGAAAAATGCATCATGTATTATATTATAAATGAAAATTATTATCAAAAAGACAAATGAAAAATTAAAAAAAATAAAATTATAAAAAAGCAGCAAAAAAAATCAGAAACACATTTGGTTTTATTGCATTAATAACACCCTGATACCTTTGAACGTGAATGGTGGTGTTGTCACATGCGAAAGATAAAGTGTTTCTCTTCTGTTGTGCGTATGTGTATGTATGAGTGCCGTATGCTATCAGCTGGTATTCAAAAAATGACATTTACATTTGAGAATCAATGGTGTTGTCTCGCTCTGTCGCATGTAACTAATTGTATTTTTACTGACGTTTCGGTCGTGCATATGCCAAAAAAAACTCATTAATGTAAACACATACCATCACATTGGTGTTTCTTTATTCGTTCATCGTTACTCATTTGGAAAAGAAGAACGTAATTTGTTTGGATCAAACGAAATTGCTTGGATTGTTGTGTTTTTGATTGTGATTTAATACTAAATTGTTATTGTTTGGAGCCGTTATTCAATTCTGCATTTCAGAACAATATTGTTCGTGAATTTCTGTTGTGAATGTTGTGAATAGTGTTGAAGCAAATATGAGTGGGAACGACGAGAGAAAATTAAGCGGAGGATCCAAATCAATTGATTATTTGGGTAAATTTTAGCTTTGTTATCTTAAATGCGCTCAAATGACATCAGTCTATTTTACAAATATACAACCGTGCTTTTGACCAAGTGCAAGTTCAAATAGAAGAAAGATTTGCAAGAAAAAATAATAATATCGAAATAAATTTATAAAGTGAATGGGACCATTTTTTTCTGCTTTATCACTTGTTCCACGTAACGTCGCACTTACACACAGGACGTTTCTCGTCTATTTTGTTTTCAATGTTGTAAATGGATTTGTAATAAGCGTAGCAGATGTTTTTTTCATTATAATATATGACAGCGAGTGTGCTGTGTGTGCCTGTGGATTGAGTGAATGTTATTGGTTGGTTATCGCAATATAAAATCTTGTGCAATAAGTCGCGCCTTAACAATTCAATGAATCATTGAAGTTCATGTTCGAATGCCTTCATAAATAGAACTACTTAGATTGTATTGACGCACACACTTATACGCTTAGACTGATAATTTTAAAACTATACCGCTCGCTTTGAATCAGTCGTATTGATATATTGCTGCTGAATTGCCATGGCTTCAAATAACGATGTAAAACATTCAACGAAATTTCGTATTAAAAATATTTCAGGCGCCGTGAATAGTTTGCTTGATACGATTAGTGACAAAGATGAAAATGTTAAGAGTGCGGTGGAACGATCGTTGATTCGAATGTGTAAAAGACGACCCAATGAAACTATTGAAATTATCTGCAGTTATCGTCAAAAATGTCAAAAGCTTCCAGAACAACAAATTGCCATTTTATTAAGGTAAACAATGCATATACACTTTAAATACATAGTATAGTCATAGGTGATAAAGAGTAATTATATATTTCGTGCCGTTTTTGCGGTGTGAGTCATAATCTGATGACCTATTAAAAGTCGCAAATTTCGTGTGTTTTATTTTATTGTCACAGGGTAATTGAAAGTTTTGTGAATGAAAATAGCGATCAACTAAGTGCCACCTGTTTAGATAATGTGATTGATTTGTGTGTCAGTGAAATGACAAAATCCTCGGAACACAAGCCAGATATTCAGAATCCTTGTATGGAAATTTTGGTAGCAGCTGGTCGATTCCATTGTAGCAAAGTAATGGATGGATTACTTAAACAATTGCCAGCGGGTCAGGTTGGTCACTTTATGGTTCTTCATTGCATCGGCAGTTTGGCTACGGCAAATACATGCGGAATTCTTCAGTTTATTCGACCAACGCTTGAAACAATCTTGCCGACATTGAGTTCGATTTCAAATGATCCATATGTGAAGCAGTCGTACAGTTTTGGTGAGTGTTTTTCGAGAAACTTTGAATAAAATAATAAATTTCAATGGGACATGTGGAATTTTCTTTATTATTTTTGGAGAAATTTCGACTAATTTTGACTAAAAATATGAAAATTACTTTTTTTTTGAATATTTTCAGCTCTTGGTCATATAGCCGAAGCAATAAGCGAACATGTCTCGAATAGGGAACGTAAAGAGCCAGAAAATGAAAATTTCGTTGATGACAATTATCATGCTGAATTGGCGATTGCATACAATGTATTATTGCAACAATGGTTACCGCATCGTGAACCAAAGGTGTGCAGTGAGATTTTGCATGCACTTTCATTCATATATCCATTGTTGCCACAAGACAAGTTGATTGAGCAAGTACCAAAAGTGATACCGCAGTTGCAGGGCTTCTACCGTCGATCGATGGATCGTAATGCGATTACCCAACTGTTGGCTTCAGTATTAAAGGCCAGCATTGATGCTGATCGAAATTCGCTTGACACACAAGCCGACGCACTAATATCAAATTTATTTGATTTGGTTTGCGTTATTCCGGATTATGGACGGCCACAAACATCAAAGGGACACTATGAAGTGCTTCGTTGCTTTGATTTATTGTTACCAATTTACTCGGAAAAAGTATTAGACATGCTATTAGTTCAATTGCGAAATAACAACGAAAGAGAACGTATCAAAGCGTTGCTTGTTGTTACGCATGTCACAAATGCAAAAGGTGATTTGGTCGCACAGAAAATTGACAGCATTACCGAAGTACTGAAGCATATGATGGCGCATGAAAAAACAATCAAAGTGAAACTGGTTTTGTTGAAAACGATCGTTGTTTTGGCACAAAAAGCATTTTTACAAGACAACGAATTTATTCGTTATATTATTATGCATTGTTGTCAATTGAGCAAAGTGAATTTGGATTTTGGTACAGCCGATGAATACGCTGATTTCATGCAAGCATGCAAAAATTCGCTTGATCTCTTGGCGTCGACGGTGTACACTGTTAGTGATCTCTTAAAACGAGAACTACTTCAATTCTATTTATTGATAGACTACACCGACGTAACGGGAACGTTTGCAATGTGCTTATCCAAATTGTTTGAAAAGAATGCAGATTTAACGTACACAGAAATTGAAAACCCCGAAAAAACCCTTACCTACTTACCATCACCAGAAACGATTTTGGCACGAAGTTTAATTCTACTTGGCAATGCAAATCAATCGAAACGATCCGAACATATTTTGGATTTCTTAAAATTCTATTCGAAAATCATCAACAAATTGATCGTTCCACTGTGGACGACTGAAATACCAAAGTTGAAGAAACAAATAAAAGAGCCGAATTTCCATGAGAAAGTGTTCAAATTTGTAACCGATACCATACGAGAATATGATGATCCATCGTTTCCCGAGAATCTGGCCAATAAATTGGCCGATCAAATGATTTTGTATCCGATTGTGATCAATCCGAAAGAGCACTTGGTGTCAGCGTTAAACGAGGAACGTGGAATGCTGCTGAAGCTGATTGGTGTCACATTGTGCTATGTCACGGATAATCAAACGATTGAATCAAAATTGGAATTGATTATAAATACGGCGCGTCAAGAAAAAATGGAAAAACTACAAAACCATGCGGAATTCGAAACGAAACTTAGCGATGCATGCACTGCATTGGGTGTTACGTCAAAGATTCATTTGAACATTGTACTTCAGAAACTCGAGCAAATGATAGAAAGTGAAGGTCAAAAGAAGCAAAGTTCCAGTTTTTTCTCATTCAAAAAAGATAACACGAAAGACACTGACATTTATAAAGTGAACATTTTGGCCATCGAATCGTATGAAAAAATTATCGAAAACATGGCCGTTTATGAGGAATTGAAAACAATCCACGAGAAAATTGTGAACTATCTGATAAAGCAGTTGTCCGAAGCCAAGGATATTACAATGAAAAAGAAAATTCTAAGCGCTTTGTTGACATTGTGTGAAACGATTTTGAAACACAGTGATTTATGTGAAGAGTTTAAATGTCGGTCTGTGATTCTTGATCAATTGGTGAAAATCGACGCAAACTATGAGAATTTACCATTGTATCCAAGCATTTTGAAATTATCAGCAAATCTAATTCAAATCAATCCACAAGATGACTTTGAAGTGCATATCTTTTTTGAAGCATCGTGTCGTACCTTCTTCACAGCCGCTCAACAACTCAAAAATAAATTCGAATCCAGCGAAGAGGACGAACGAAACTCTTATATTGCAAAATACTTGAATTTGTCATTGCCGGAGTTGAATCATCTGGTCAAAGTGATCTTTCGACAAAACCCAACACCAGACGCATTGGATGATGTACATTGTGTACTCGAATTTTGGCTACGCGATAAAAATAGTGAAGTTCGCATTTGCGCCAGTCATGTCATGGATAGCGCACTGATTGTAAGTAACGTGAATTCAATCATTTTTTTTTTTCAATTTTATTTACCGTTTTATTTTCTTCCTTCATAGAACTACATACACTCAGTGAAAATTGGCTGTGAAGCACCATCAAAGTTCAATCAAAGTGGAGCAATGCTTGGAAAAATCGTAATTTATATTATATATATTGTTATTATTATATATTATATGAATTTATTATATATTTTTTTAATCAAATATTATTATTAGATTCCAAGATGTATCGACACATACCCGACTGTACGTCAAACGGCTGTTGATATTTTGAAACGGATTTTGGAAATTTCGTGCATTTACGAAACGCTTACGATTGCTGAAAATGATGAATGGTATAATGAGCTCTTATTATTGATTCTTTTTCGATTATTTATCGATTATTTTAAATTAATTTTATTCTTTTCTTTTGTGATTCTTCCCTTAGGTATAAGGAACTGGGCGTCATTCGAGAGGACATTGTGACTGACGATCCTGTTCAACTTTATCATCTCACCGAAGATATTTCGAAAATTCTTGCAGAAAGACTATCAACGTTTCAATATGTGCAATTTTGGTAAGACGAACGAAATTTCGAAAATCTCGTAACATTTTAATAATCCAACAACTTTTACTTTAACAGTAAAGCCTTACTTAAAGCTTTGGAGGATTGTGAACAGAGTTCAGCAGTTGGGTCAGCGGTTGTTTTGAAAAATTTCATTCGTTTGAAAGGATCCGAGCTATTCCATGCAATTCCAGGATTGGTTCAGGACTCATTGGCCGTAAATATCATTTGTTATTTGAATCAGAGCTGTTATTGGCACCAGAATGCAAATTACTTACAAAAAAAGTGTTGGCGCTACGGCGGTGCCTATTGTAGCTCTGACTTGAACTGAAGAAATTTCAACGGTTTAAAAATTATTAAATTAAATGATTTTCCTTTTGATTATTAAAATGTGTAGGCAATTGCCGATTGTAACACTTCACAGCCCAAAACAGGTGTCTTGAAAGCACTTGTTGCATTGGCGAAACATCATCCGAAATTAGTCTGCACCGAAATGCTTGCCACAAATCTACCATTCCAAAGCAACATCATTGAGTTCTGGCGATGCGTTTCAACACAATCGGAATTGTCCGGTTTCATAATTGATCACTTTTTGGGTATTCTAAATTCATCATGTTTGTATGAAGTTTCTGGCGAAAAATCCGGTCCACATAATCAAAATATCGCAACTCATCAACCATTTGCTATATTTTGTGCACTGAAGGAGATTGTACAAGGCAAAGAGATTCAGGCAGTAAGTTATCCTTGTAATTTTCACTCGTTTCTCTTCTTAACTGAAACATTTTTGTTTTTACTTTTTTAGGAATTGAAAAAACGTTTTCCCGAACTCTTTGCATTATTCCTTGCTTCCGTCGCTACATACACAAATTTAGCACCGCCGACAAAATCCCCATCATCATCACCAACTGCAAAGACGTCAAATAACAAAACCAAGTTTGGTTTCATACCAAACAAAGAGGGGGTAAAAATGCTTCCATGCCAGGTGGTTTTAGATGCATTCAAAGCATATTTGGAGAACATTGAAATGGAGCAATTGGCTCAAATACTAACAGTATATCCGCACTTAGCATCGAGTGCCGATTTGAATAAGTTTATGGAACTTTTAACACCAATGGCCGGTGCTTTGGTCTGCCAATTGACAATCACATCGACGGCAATGACGCAAGTTGTCGAAGCCTTAGCTGATAAAATTTCCAGCCCGTATGATAGCCAACGCATTGCAGCGGTGGGTCTTTACTCACAAATTGTTCCTCTGAAACCAACTGGTGATCTAACAACGATAATAATGCAACATTTAAATTCAGCTTTAGGCGATCCAAATCCATTGGTTCGTGGTTTTTGTATTCGGGGCATGGCATATGTTGGCAATCTGAATGAACAGGACGTTGATAAATATTCAGAGATGAGTTTGACCGCATTGCTTAAAGGTATTGATGATAATAACACCGATTGTTTCATCAATATTCCATTGGAAAGCCTTAAAGGTTTGTCACGCATTGTGATGGCACTTCACAAAGATAAATTGGAATCGTTTCAAGTTTCGTTGGCCATTCGGATTCGGCCATTCTTTGAAAATTCCGCATCCGATATTCGTGAAGCGGCAATTATGCTGTTCGGTGATTTGTGTCGCATTAAAACCGCCGATCATGGAACACGTTCTAAGACGCCCATTGAAACAATGACACCGGTTTCCGAGGCACTGCGAGAACAGATTTTTCAAAATTTCTTTACACTATTTCTACACTTGAGCGAGTCTGATGCTCAAATTGTGCGGGTATGTTTCTTTCGATTCCATAAATTCATTCATTTTTGTATGACGCAAACATTTTACCAATATTATCGCTTTTTGAACAATATCAATTTCAGGCTTCGAAAGTTACGCTGCGCAAAATATCGAATTTAATAAATGCACCCAAGGTTAATGAAATGGTTCAGAGCCACATATTGGAACACGGCAACTTGCAGTACGATAATTTTGCAGCCTCATTTTTAAAATTAATCGTAAGTAATTTAACAATTGAAGCGTTGTCTTAATTTTTTCTTGATTTCTTTCATTTACAATTACATTTTCTTTTTTCATTTGCAGAGTGAAGACCTGAGTGATCATGTGTCCGATTTCATTGAATCGAGTTTACCGCATTTGAAGAGTCAATGGCCGGAAATTCGCGGCAATGCCGCTTGTATCGTTGGACTTCTGTACAACTTGAACTCTAGCAAGAGCCAGCAACAGCATTCGGCCGAATATCTAAGCCATAAAATATCAGTGTTGCTTCACGATGAAGTCATACCAGTTAGAGTTAAAGCCGCCAATGCGCTTGGATTCATGTTTGGCGAAATCATATAATATTGTTATTTTTCAAATGTTTTATTCATGTTGATATGAAAAATCGAAAAATTTAATTGAGACTAAACATAAAAATTTCAAACATAAGAATAAATGAATCAGTATACAAATTAAACATTGCTACTACAGTTTCGTTTTATTTTAAATTTAAAGGATGAAAAAATAAACTAAAATCAATCGTTAGAAAATTCAAAAGAAAAAACCACAAAAAGGAACAGCTAGACTATTTTGTATGAAGAAAAACACTGTGTTCTTATCTGAAAGATGAAAATGGTTCGAATTTATTGGATTTTTTTTAAATTATGCTACACATCAAACACCACACAAGTTGTAATACTAGAAAAAAATTCGATTGGTAGACTAAAGAACAACCATCAAGTGTGTTAAATTGATTAGATTCAATGGAGTTTCATCAATCAAACTCATGTTCTTCTTATTTTTTTATTTCATTTCTATAAAAAAAGAGATGTCGTAAATATATTGCCATTCAGAATCCTAAGAAAGACATCTAAGTCATGGTTATTGAACTTATGACTAAAATCTTACGAAAATAAACCATAAAAATTATTAACAAAAGATTCTTTTGAAAAGAAGGAGAACAGAAAATGTTAGAATAAAAACTATATTTAAATTAAATCGATGACTTTAAATTTTAATATAATAAAATCAACAAATTGAAACTATCCGAATAAAAATAAGGGAAAAACATTATCCGAAAAAAAATCGATAAAAAACAATAAAAATTTTGAATTCATTTTTTATATATCACAAAGATTTGTTTAAAAAAATATTATTAAATAAACAAAGAAATACTCAAAAAAAGGTCATTCAGATTCCATTTGAAAGAGTTGTTTGGTTAATTCAGCATTTGAATGGAGTATTTTGTATAATTTGCTTGTTTTGCTCAGTAGAGAGATTCTCGACTAAATATATGACCAATATATACTGATAAGTCAAAAGTAGTCTTCTGCTTTTCTTTGTAAATGACAAGATTAACTAAATTGACCGGCGGCCAAGTAAAAGCACGCGAATCGTAATGTGGTCGCTTTTATATCTCCCGCCATTGAACTGAAATTCATTGAAATGTCACAATACAAATTGCACACACAAAAAAGTGTTTTTTTTTTTTATCTTAACTTAAACTTAAACCTAAATATCGACCACGCTGTTTTTCTTGTCTTTATTGCCGGGCTCCTTTTTGGCTGTTATAATATGCACATCAGTTTGCTTTTGGTTTGCATTATTGCAGTTGGTTGTTGCGACAATGTCCTCTTCATCGTCACTGCTGTCCATTAGAATGGATTCAGCGATATCATTGTACTTTGGTGGTGGAATTGCTGGCGATGGATAAAAATAAAAATCGGTACCCACGGCAAATTCTTGACGCTGCGGTCGTAAGGACTTTTTCTCATCGCCACCAGTTAAATTCATTGGCACAACGTTCACTTGACCCGGACCAATTAATCCGAATTCATGCTGAAGACCTTCGTTGAGGAACATACCGTAAATATAATTGCTGTAGTGTATATAGAGAAAGGCGACCAGCAAGAATAGTGGTAGAATCCACATCCAAACCGGTATGCAATAGTTTATGGTGAAATTTTCACGGCCTATGTACCGTGGCACCGTCTCAATTTGTGTTGTGATTTTATCATAATTGCCGTACTGTGAATCATAATCATATTCATTTGAACGCCACATTGAGTCCAATAAAACCCAATCCTCCTTTGATGGAATGTCAAAGTCTGGCTGTAATAGAACCATATTACGATCTGTTGCACCCATATACACTAACCAACCGTTAATTAGTGGTGCTTTAGCTTGTAGCGTCATCATTTCATTGCAACCACGAAAACATTGCTCTTTCTTCAATTTTTCACCATTGTAGGCCTCACTACAAGCTGCAATTTCGCAAAAGAAAAGACACATTTTGAGTTAAGGATGCTTTCGACACAAAGACATTGGTGCATGGTAAACACTTACATGCTCCACATCGTTCGACCAATTGATTGAGATCAATAATTTTGTCTTTATTACGTGCATTCATCAAAAATTCAATGTTAAAGTACTGGCAGCCGCGAAAACATTCCACTTTGCCAAATTCCTGCAAATGAATTTATGCGAATCGATGAAAAATCAATCAAAAATGTCAACATTGTCATATAAGGTGTGTATGTGTCTATATTGCGACACTTGTTTGCCCTTTTTCTTACCTTAGTTCCATTTTCACTTTGATTTGTGCACAAGTCGTCACATTTACTGGTGAATTTTGGCTGCAAATGTTCCTGGTCACCACTCACCAATTTGACAATGTGCTGTAGATTTATCAAAATAAATAAATATCGAAGTATTTTATCCATTTTCAGATACTCTGTACATTTCGTCTTAAATGTCACAAAAAGGTATGTGATTTATCAACAGTAATGAGCAAAAAAAATCAATTGTTTTGCTTCGCAAAAATTGATAAGACAGCACAGATGGCGCTACAACATCTAGAGCACGTTCCGAATACAATTTGAATTTTAACATACTTAACAGATACTTTATTTTATTTACAGTATTTCTTTATGCGGCTGTTACAAATCCAAGCATTCGAATCTTATCACAGAATAATACTTGTTCAAATAATTTTTCTTAATAAATAAGAAATACGATTTAACCGACACCATGGCTTAGTCAGTCTGGTTGCAGTCTCGAGATGCCATGGTGCCGGGAGTCGGTGGTACATGTATTTTTATTTAAAATAAATTTGCAGAAGATATTTGAATCTTCGACGCTTGCTTCGGAAGGCAAGTAAAGCCGTTGGTCCCTGCGCATCAAAACCATTGTGTGGAAACAGTGACGGTTTCTCCCATGCGGTTTACGTCACTGGCATGCATTACCAACTTGCATGCGGTACTATGTGGTTTCTCCTACACGGTTTACACAGATAAGGGGGCCTCAAACGGCTCCACTAAACGACAAATCCTATTCAAAATTGAATAGGTAATTATATGACACCTTTTCTGAACGGTTTTCGGTTTAGCAAAATATTCAAACAAAAATAAATAAATACGATTCATTTGCAAATAATTGCTATGTTCTTTCTTTATTAATTTTGTTAGAATTATTTGCTAGTTTACATGTGTTAAGTATTTTATTTCAGTGATATGGCTGCCATTGAATATGGCTGCTTTCAATGGAGCATGTGTTTGGTTTGCGGACTGGTCCCATTTTGAATGGATATAATTTGTCCATTTCCTTTTTCATTGTGTAGATGTCGTCCATGCAATTTTCTTTGGCGAACAAATCATAGATGGTTTTGTACAATTTTTCTCTAGCATCATAGGCTTCTTGCATTTTGTATTGGGTCATGTTGTCGTAGACCTCTTTCACCAATTCTGGGTAAAGGTTCATGACAGTCATTGAGATTGCTTCGAATCCTTCAGCCATGTATCCCATGATTGATGAGCCCATAGCGATGATGTAGTTGTATTCTGGCATCTTTTCTTTCAAGTGAATAGCTTGGTCAATGTGGTCAACAGCCCAGAATAAGCCGGCGAATGTTGAAACTTCTTTTTTCATCAATTGCAAGAAGCCGTACCAGTTAACTAAGAGAATATATATTTTTATGTTAAAAATGTATCAAATTAATACATAAATGCTCGTCTATTTTCAATTGCGAGTAGAACTTACTGTTTTCGACTCCAGTCGTCTTCGGAATGTGATAGTAGAAGATTGGACGGGTTGGCATGTAATTTTTGACATCTTTCAAGTAGTATACCAAGTTTTCGGCGGTTTTTGGTTTGTGGTACATGTCTGGTATAATCATAACGGCATCAATTTTGATTTTTTCGGCGTGTTCAGCCAATTCGTACACATATGGCAATGGCAAACCACCAATGTTGACGACGACTTTCAATTCGTATTTACTGCACTCTACGAACCATTTTTCCGACAACTTTTTACGTTCTTCGACGGTCAAAGTCAAACCCTCACCAGTCATGCTGTTGACGAATACACCGTGCATACCTTTGGACTTCAAGTATTGACAGTATTTGTCGATGACATCGTAGTTGATGGTGCGTTTGGCATCGTTGTTGAATGGGGTGAATACTGCAGAATAAATTGAAAATAAAATGGTATTTTTGAAAAGGAACTTCAAGTGACGCAACAGAATAAAAATTGAATCAAAATTATTTAGAAACGAGCCTGTACTAACCTGGCACCATCATTCCCTTGAAGTTGAAGTCGGTTTTCATCTCGATAGTTTTTGAATTCTATTTTTCAAAAGAAATAAATTGATTTGATCGATGTGAATTATTTCTCATATTTCCAATTACATTATGAGATAAATTAAAACATAAATTTTGAGCTCATGCTTGTTGGTTGCAGTAAATTGAAATTAATTTTCGGAGATAATTAATAATGTTGGATAAAACAGCAAAAGAAAATAAATAAATGAATTTGGTAGCCACAAAAATATATTTGTATATTGATTAAAATGAGAATGATTTTGTTTAAATAAGACGAAGTTTTAAAAGAACAGTTTAAAATATGTTTTGAAAAAAAACACTGATTTTCTGAATAGAACTAATTTTTTAAAAGGCATAAGAAAAAAATCTCACGAATTGAAAAATAATGTTTTTTTTTAAATATAATATACCGTAAATATATTTAAAAGTGAGTTTTGTACAACTTGATCAAAAATTCCAAATTACAATCTACAATGTAATTTGAAAAAAAAAATATATATATATATTAATGTTATCAAGAATACAACTTACAGCACATCGAGCGGGTATAAGAACTAAAAGAAGTGTGAAAACTCCGAAAATCATTTTGATTCGCTATTTTGAATTTTTAACAGACTCTTTTGAAAGATATTATCAAAGTGATTTTGTCAGGGATTTGCTGCCCTTTTAAATAAAATCCAAAAGAAGATAACTCCTACTAATTTGTAAGAAGAAATGTACTTTGTACTGCACGAATTGTAAAGGCAAGAAAAGGTAAAGATAATGTTTATTGTGTTAAAAGCATTGAGTTCATTCATCAGAACCAAAGTCAAAACAGGTCTATAATTTTATGATGACAGATGTAAAAACGTGTATAATATAAAATTTTTGATGTACAATACAAAGTCTACTTCAAATTAATTATCTTATCACTCAAATTACACTGTGTATAAATTGATACACACGAGCGCTCTTAATTTCATCTCCACGTTTAATTTTTTTAATAAACAACATTGATAATTAAAATTATGAAAAGAATCTGAGCAATGAAGATATTGTTGCCAAAGCACATTCCTTCTTTCATAGAGTCGTAGAAATTATAAAAAAGATCATTCCAACCGTTACATGTACATTGTACAACCCCAGATTATTTAGTTTTTTTTAGGAATTCACCAGTTTATGTTCGAAAATATCAAAACTTTTATGCTGAATCACATTTATTTACTCTACTGAACAAAAATGCAATTTTTGGTAATTTTGGTATCAATTTTTTTTCAGAATGGTCTCTCTTGATTTATTATTCATGTTAAAAATGTGTATATTTTTCAAAATGCGATTGATATAAGTCATTTTCCATCAATTTAAAATGAAGCTTTTTTTTCAAATTGGATCAAAGATTTACATGCTTTTGCATTAGCTTCATTAGAATTAAATGGGAATATGTTTTGATTCGTTTTAAAAGAGCAATCTATAAGTGCTCATCAAGAAAAGGATAAAGTTATTTATAAAATAATAAATACGATTCATTTGCTAATAATTGCTTTGTTCTTTCTTTATTAATTTTGTTAGAATTATTTGCTAGTTTACATATGTCATGTATTTTATTTCAGTGATGTGTCTGCCATTGAG